AAACGGTCCTGTCGCGCGCCCCGCCCCGTCCCGTCCCGTCCCGTCTAAGGCGGGGCGGGGCGGGGCGAGGTAAGGGCGCCCTACCCCGAACCCGCCCCGTTGACATCCCTAATATTAATGATGAACAAAGCTTAATAGTACAGATAGAAGATTCTGGTCATTTTAAAACTAGGAAAATGATGAAAAAAACAGGGCTAAATCTAGGGGAAAAAATAGACTGTTGTGTTAGAACTTGATTGGATGATTTTTGTTTTTATTTTTCAAACTGGCCAATCGTGTATAGACATGTATATTTCCTGGATTTAACTCTAGATGTGTAGCATTGTTGTTAAAACTAAAGCCAATATATTCTCGTCCTCTCAATCCTTTTTGCCTCTAATATTTGATTTCTATCTCTTTATTCCTAGTTCAGGCTTTATAACTTTAGAAATTATGATGCTGTTCACTCAAATCCATGTTGATTAGTTTTACACATGCATATCTCGTGAGAAGGTCAACTATGAACCCAGTCGTTTATTCATTAGACATCAATGTCATGCCGAGTGAGAGTCCTTATATTTGTATTACACATAAACTACAACCCATAGAATACAATATATATATATATATATATATATACCCATGTTACATATTTGATGTTACCTAAGACTCTTTTGATTGCGACTAATATGAGTTTTCAAATCTTGCGGTTAGGTAAAATTAACAAGACACCTTAGACTGGAAAAAAGGAAAAAGGATTGATGATCCAATAAACCTTATACATTCAGAATGTGAGCGCGCTTATGTTGATTACAAGTGGACGTCGTCTTTCTTATTTCATCATATTTATCGATGGTCATGATAGTTATGGTTATATACGATGAAGTTTAAATCTAAAGTTTTGAAAATTTCAAAGAGTTCAAAAATGAAATAGAATATCAAAATAAGGAAAAATATGATAGCACTTAAATCTAGTCGAAGTAGAGAAATGTTTTAGTTGGTGAATTTCAAATTTGTATTAAGAGAAGGGGATTTTCTCACGGGTGCTCCATCACATACGTCATCGCAAAATGGTGTTTCTAAAAAGAGAAATCGAAAATGATGCGATGAAAGCCATGCAAAATTTTCAAAATTGGTTTTGGGCTAGGCATGAATTCTGCGTGCTAGAAACTGAAGCGTGTTATATTCAAATTGATTGATAAAACTTCATATAACATATGAAAAGAAGAATGATCAATTTTCTCGTGTTATTTGAGGCTGTGACACATAGGAGAAGCTTGCTAATTCAAATAAGTTAGAATGTTATTCTATTTCTAAGTAATTTGTTTTAGTCTCGGCTGTCACAACGTCGAAATTCAAAGGAGTGACTTCATCGTAGAACTCATTTGTAGCATCGTGGAAAGTAGAGTGAAAAATTATATTTCGTAAGTATAAATCGAATTCTTTCAAGAAAACCACTTGTGGAGGAGTACATCAAGGAAAAAAAAAAGGGTCTCTTTTCACTTTAGCTTGAACCTGTAAATTAATTTCATCTTTGTAAAAGTAATGAAACAAACTATATAATCACTATAAGAAGAAAATAATCATAATAACCATAAACATGATGCACTAATCATAATGTTGTAATTCTCGTTGCTTTTTGGGGGTCTTGTTTTCTACAAGAAAAAGCAGCTTTTCTTGATTTTCCCTTTCTTGATTGTCCTTTCGTCTTCTTTTCTTTCTTGTTTTTCCAACTTGCACAGTTAGTTCAGTGGATCTTATGACCTTAACCAGACATTGACAGGAAAATTAGATGGAAAAAAGGTAAAACTATATATATACACATATACATAGATATGGTCCATCGGCACTTGGAGGAAGCTTCGAGTACTAATGATTTTGTCTGTGTTGGGAATGTTTATTTGAATCTGAATCTTTTATGTTTTGTTTCTACCCATGATGATCCGGGTTGTCAGGGTCATGCCAGAAGGTGGAGTACTTCAACCATTCTGCTTCTTGTGGATTTGTAATAGATGACTCCTGAAATAACAACATCAACATGTGCACAAAAGGTAAGAGTTGTCGAAAAACAGATTTTAAATCGATTTTTTTTTTCACGTTTTAAAAGCCTTAAACCTTGAGACAAGGTAATTCAATATGTTATCACAGCAAACCAAGGTTTTAAATACAAGTCTCTTCGTCGCTTATTTGTGAAATGTTGCATGATTCAAGATTTCGATTGGAAAATGCTGGTATGCACTCAAGACATGTTGAAGATGGACTCTAAATAAAATGAGTTGGTTCGACAAGAACATATAAGGAAATGATCTTTTTCTATGAGACCAAACATGGGGAAAAAATGGTGTTAGGATCACTAGCTTTCTTTCTTTTTCTTTTCCCAATTCAAATAATTTTCATTGTTGAGTTTCTTTTTGCATTTGAATAGTAATTAATAGCCAAATGACATGATGGGATATAACTTTCCATGGTCTTTATATTATTATTTTGTGTAAGTTGTTAAAATTATGTTCTTATTAGTAATATTTCAAATTAATAGCTCCATAGCTTAACTTTAGTTTTTCAAAAGTAGAAGAAAGGAGGATTCTTAAAAAATTTTACAGCTTCCACAGTTGATGGACAAAAAGGAAAAAAAATTAAAAATTAAAGAAGAGAATAAGGAGAAAAAACTAGCAAGCATCTTCTTCCTTTGCTAGTAAGTCTTGTGGGGTGATTCTGTAGTAAGATAAAGTGATTAAAATTTCTTTATCGTATTTGGGACGTATAATCAATCGTCCTCTCTACTAAACACGTCATTTTATTCGTAAAAGTTAGCCTAAATGCACTAGGCACCCCTATACTGAAAAAGTTAGCCTATATACAGAATCAGCTGCAAATTTACTATACTGATCAAGCAAGCAAGCTATGCAACTTATTTCATTTACTTTTTCACAGTTAAGATATTATGTTTAAACTAAATGAAAAGGAGATAAAGGAAAAAGATTGTAATAACTGCTATCTCTAGTTTGTTATTCCAAGCTTTCTCTTTAGTTAAACTTAAATTAGACTAATTGTAATGTACAACTTCTGTTTTTATTATCAAGATTTCGGAAAAAAGTTGCTTGTTTTCATGCCTTATCCTTTTCAATCTGTAGTTACCTTTACTTTTTCTACTACTCGGAAAACAATTTTACATGAAAGAGTTCTGGATTATAAAGTTTATACTTACTTCCTTGATGTGATCAATTGAAGTGCAACCCATGATGACTTCCTCCAATCCTGTTGCAGACCTTCTTCCGAGTTTATGATGTTGCTGTAGTCATTTAGAACAAAATAAAACATAATCATCTTTAAGATTATGCATTGTCTATAAAAGACAACAAGTATAAAGGGAAAATATAATTACATGTTTGCAACATAGAAGTCATAAAATCATCGCATACTCATTTGGCTTAATTAACCATTAGTGCATATCAGTAAGCATTGCCAAAACAATACAATACACAAGATTATAATTTATTTATTTTTTTCGTTTTTGATCTTGTCAAATCCTTCCTACCGAACATAACATTAGGATCTTAGGCGTAATCACTATGCTAAGATTGGGAGTGGTTTATTGAGCATGTTGGCTTTGCTTAAACGCCAAAAAAAGCAAATTTTTTGGCTGTTTTTCGACAATATGGGAGGTCTGGTTATACTGCCGAAGTAGACAGAAAGAATCGTTTAGAAAATGCAAAAGATGCTAAATTGTTACTGCATTTCCAGCAAGCAACAAATCCTCATTCGAAATAAATTTGGAGAATCATCATATATAATGCTATCTAATCATATAATTTGTTTCTAAAGGTTCAAGAAAATGTTGGGTTTACATGGTTTAATTACCTGAAAATTTTGATTTTGGAGAATCATTCTGGGGACATGGAAGGAGTCCTCATCAAGAACGATAGAGGTATGATGATGAAGAGGTGGTGGTGGAGAAATTATGGCGGATATAGAGAGTGAAGGCCTGCTGATCATGTGGTATGCTGCGGTTGCAATCTGGTGTTGCTGAGCCTCATGGGTCACGTGAGGTGGTGGCATTTGATGCTCATCGCACGTGTCTGCTGCTGAAACTTCCCTTGCAATTGAAGCTTCTCCAATCCCAGCCTGCAACAAATTAATAATTCATAAACAGTTTGCTAGCTGGCTAGTCCCTTGTCAAGGTTCTTTTTAATATTCTGTGCCTTTTCTTTAATTTAATCTTTCCTTTTCTCTCCTTTTTTTTTAATGTTCATTCAATTTTTATTTATTTTTCGATTTTACTCTTTCTAATTTTCTCTTCTCTGGTTGGTGAACTGTTTAGTTTTTTTAATTAGATGAGTGTTAATATCAAACAAATCCGATATCATTTTCAGGCTTTATGCACAAGCATCCAAATGTGAAAAGCAATTTTTTGTGCTGATTTTGGTATTTCATGCATGCATTACTTGCTTGAAATTATAAGTCAATTGCTTATAATTTTGTTCTAAACTCTACATAGAATATAACACATTTGATATATACTATATAGCAGCAAGAATGTTCACTTTAATTTTTGAAAATATTGAGTACAGTAACAAAATTCACTGGAAAGAAAGAAGAATTTTGGTAAAGTAATTCATGATTAAAACTTTACCTAAAAATCTACATTAATTTCCAGCAACTAGTAAATTTTTGTATAATTCATAAAATTGTAGGTATTATTGTAATAAGATTTTTGAGCAAGATTTGTGAAAATTAATTGCAGTTATAAATAGAGATGTTCGACATATACGCATATAAGTACCTCATCAAAGGGTTTTGTAAACGGAAGGAAGCTGAAATGGTCTGCTTTGAATTGTTGGATATCTAACGCACCATAGCTAGACATAGGAGAGCTGCCAGTTCCGCCGGTGCCACCACCACGGCCGCCATGGAATTCATCTGTAGGAGGAACTATTTCCTTAGAAGGGCGGATCCCAATACTGTCACTATCCCTATTTGGATCACTGCTAGTTGGTAATTCAACAGCATTATTCATGCTATTCTTTTCGGACCAATTGCATTGCCTTGGTTGAGTCTGATAAAATATCTTGGAAACCACAAGTTCACCTTCTTTTTCTTCTTCATTTTGACCTGTGTGGTATTGATGCATCACCCAGTTTGTTTTTTCAGGTTTCCTATTTTTCCCAAAATTTGTGTATAAAACCAAAATTTTCTTGCATCCCTTTTGCTTTCCATTAACCATGACTGGCCTGGTTTTGCCTGTCTTGTGCCACCGGGTTTCTCCCCCCTGTAAGTCACATTCGGTTTGAATTTTTCGTCTTTTTCTTGTGCCGGTGGTGTAAGCCTTTGATGGTCTGTGGAAGAAATGCCGATTCAATCCATCCCTTGTTACGCCTGAAAAAACAATGTAAAATTTATTTGCTTCCAAATCAAAATGCGCTATAGCTAGTGACGTTAGAAGTGAACTTCCAGGCCAAAAAGGAGCCGAACGAACGCCTAGTGCAAATTTTATTTGAAACTAAACCAAGAATGGAGAAAGTTTAAAGTTGAGAAAATCAAAGTTAGGTTTACTTAGGTGCAACAAACTAAGAGACTTCAATTAAATTTCTTGAAACATCAGAAAAAAACAAGGGATAATAAAACAAACCCTAGAATCCTTCTAGTTGTATCTTGCAAGCAAGAAAGTGTATAACCTAACTCCTTGAATTAAGGAGAAGCAATTTCACGTACACACACATTACACACAGTGAAAGTGTACTTCTGATACCTGGAAGCTTTTCTGGGTGAGTATAGCAAATCCCATCATCACCTTCAATTGTAGGGATGAACTCATCAATCAATGGATGAGATTTTGATTCTTTGCCTTTTACTTTGGCTTCAAGGTGCTCTATCAATTCTTGGTCTGTTGGATCAAATTTCACTCCTGCTGGTAGACCTACCCAATTCTGCAGATGATTTAAAAATTAACTTAATAAAACCAAAAACGAGAATAAATTAAAAACGTACTTAATTATTCTTTAAGTAGTAAAATTCGTACTGGCTTCCCTTCGAGCTTTTGGCCGCATCCAGGACACTGCTTGGATCCACATAATCGATGTTCCTCAAGCTTCGAATCAATGAGATCAGAACTGCTGATGGATCCTAACTGAGACTTATTCATGGCTCTTCAAACGTGCTTTTTATTTGGTAATCAACTTGGCTGATAAACTTCCATAAGAAACCTTACCTTGGACAAAATCTTCTTATGTTGTCTGAATTTAAGTCTCTATAGTTGATACATATATACATATATTCTGTGGACTAAATGAACAAAGAAAATAGCAATTCATATGTATACAAGCAGAAATTCTTGAAATTAATCACAAAATTGAACAAGTAAAACCTTAATAGTTTTTAATATGTAAAGAAAAACCCATAATAAAGATTGTTTCTGCAAATAAAAAACAAAAGAGAAAAAGAAAAAACAAATAGTAATCCACAAGAAATCAAGACTGGAAATTAAAATATTTTTCAAGACTGGAAATTAAACTGGTGAGGGCTAGAGAGAGAAGGGGATAACGAGAGAGTGAGAGAGAGAGAGAGAGAGAGAGGGAAAAAGAGGAACTGTGAGGGTGGAAGAGAGCTATAAAGCCTGCTTTAGCTATGAAAAAACAGCAGAATTCCCTCTACACTTTAACGGAAGCCGGTGAGATAAAGAAAAAGGTGTCGCATACGCAATATACCGCATTTAAGTCTTTCGGTCTGTCCTAATTTAAGAACACCATATACACGGTTTCTCTCTCTCTCTAGAGAGTTAGAGAGAGAGACGATATATATAATATATACATATATATATAGAGAGAGAGAGAGAGAGAGAGAGAGAGATTGGATTTTTGTAAAGCTCATGGGCATCCACGCCTTTGTCTTGAGTCTCCTTGACTGGTAAAGCAAAAGCCAGGAAACAGCCTCTTCACCTGTTACTGTTTCAGATACTTAACCATCTAATACATAACTATATTCCTAGTATTTTCTTCAAATATTGGGACAAAACTAAGAATATATATCATCTTGAACAAAAATGAACTTAGAAATTAATATTCATTTCTTGATATAGACAAGTATAAACAAATAAATTATTTTTAACAATTTAAATTACGACGCGCTTAACATACTATTATATATATGATAATTTATTTATTTATTTTACATAAATGTTCCAATATTAATCTTAGTCCTAGTACTTTGGTACATTAAAGATATGTATGTGACTGAATAATGTTTTTTCATTCTAAGTTTTAATACGTTAATCTCATAGATAAAAACGGTGGAGTCTGAACGCGTTTGAGCACTTTCAGCGGAAAAAAAAGGTCAAAAAAAAAAAGGAGATATATTTTATAATGTAAAATAAAATAACCAAACATCCCCAGCAGCCTACCCCAAAAAAATGGACATATATAGAAACAAGAGAAAGAGGGGGAAAAAAAATAAAAAATGATCAGAACTCACATGAGGACTGATCATGACAAAGAGAGGAGGGGTGGGGGACAATGTTGCTTGATATGCAAGGCAAATGAGCAGTACACTTGATGGACAACCACCATATCTATTCTATTTTAAATCATATATTTTTCCATATAAATATCAAAGAAGTCAACACCAAAAACTCAAATAAATTAATCTTTTAAGAATTCACATGGGTTTGTTTATACAGTTTTGCTACATGTACATCATAGTTGACAGCTTTGTATATATTTCGTGATGTGACACACAGTTTTGTCATTGATTTTAACGATATTTAAAATAATCAATGACTTCATCAATAATGTGCAAAAGTAATGTACAAATAGCTTTATTCTTGTTTATATCCATGAGGTAACTCGCTGTTAAAAACCGTGTAGAGGTTAGCCATAGAAAAATTCCTTCAATATCATCCAAAATTCTAAATGTTATCCTATAAAATAAAATTTACCGTCAGTAATATTCTCGTCGCTCTCTCAATTTTCAAATGACTGGTCGATAGTCCACCAATGATCACTAATAGAAACATTTTCTAGTAGTGATTTGGGAAAAAAAATTTATTTTTTGCACTTCATAGTACTCGTATACAAATATCAATAGAAAATGAAAGATATGTATATTAGACTCCAAAACGTAAATAAAAGATCTAATACGAGCACTCCCAAAGATAATCCAACACACTATGTTTTTTTAACTACCATATGTGACATGTATTATGAATGACAGATATGAAATATGGTACAATACTTTTTAATTGGGACTTTCTTCCAATCTCCAATTAAAGGTTCAAAAAATATTTTAAAGTAAAATGTGAGAGATAAAATGTTTACACCAGAATCATTGTAATCATTCTCATTATCTTCATGCATTGAATGTAATGTCTCGTGGTCACATTTGGTTGGAAATTGGTTTAGAAGATTGAAAATTTTGGTTAAGTGTCAAAATAAAAAAAAACTTGAAAAAGTGACTTGCGTGTAAATAGACCAACTTGTTATACTCGTCGAGTAGATCGTCATGGTATATTTGAAATCTCAAAATCAATTTCGAATGAATGAGAAATTACGTTCCAAAGTTGGGAAGCAAATAGAGGAAATTGTCCGATATTTGCCTAAGTGTGTCGCTCGCCTGACTTTGGACCGTCGCTTGAGCGACAGGCTAGCGACAGTGGATGGTGCGACATATAGCAAGAATTGCTAAGTTTGGAACGCGGCACTTCATTAACAACCCCTCATTCTCTGTGTAGGACCCCTTCAACATCCGTTAGGCATCCCATACCATATTTGCATTGAGCATTGCATAAAAACTCTTGCAAAACACTTCCAAATTCATTCACAATCGTTTTCTTCTTTGTAGAGAGAAACTTCGTCGAAAGTTCACCGTAACTTGTGGTCTGAAGTGCTTCTACCATAAGTTGAATCCGCTGTATCTTAGAAAACAAGTGCCGTGAACCGTGAATACCATTGCTAGGCAATTTAATCTTAAGAAAAGAGTGAAAATCACTTACCTGGAATTATTCTTCTTCTTCCTCCTTTTTTTTTTTTAATTTTTTGGCTGCCCTTTGTTTTCATTTGTAGTTTTCATACTAAATTTTCAATCACCTTGTTATATTGTTTAGTCACGCTCCTACGGATTAAACTTTGATTTTTGTTTGTTCGATATACAACAACCCTTTCACCCGCACCTATATTTAGCCAGCGTCGCCAACACATTCTAACTCGCAACTTGAGGAAAATCCATTACTTGATGCTTATACATTCAAGTTTGTAAGTCAACAGTATTGTCAAAAGTACAATATTACAAGTATATTGTTCTTCAAGTGTCTGATTTTTCTTTTATTATTTCATAATATTGTATTAATGCAGGACTGACCTTGAGGATGTGCAGTTGGTGCGATCACATGCCCCTTATAGGGTCACAACAAATAGAATTAGTTACATATTTACATTTTTTTTTTAATTTAGATAATATCTTTTAATACAGAATATTTTTTCCTTTTTTGGTCCAGTTTGAAGGACACAATATTTAGGTTTAAAAGGCACAAAGATTGTAAATTAATATCGATATTTTTAAATTCAGTATATTATGATAAACAAAAATTATTATTTTAATTTGTTTCCAATTAATGGCTTTTCTTGAAAAGTTTCCTATTAGTCAAAAAGGGCAAAAAAATTAGTACTCTTCTCAACCTAGAGTGAGAAAAACTGGACTTTTTAATTTGTTTTGTTCATTTCAGAAAATTAGCCAATTGATTCACCTAATAATCCCTCTTTTAGGTTCCACGGCACTCAAAATCTCAAGGTCGACCCTAAGTTATTAGTTCAAAAAATCTACGAATACCATAAAGAGAATATAGATACACGAAAATCACATGAATAGTAAAATAGACTAAACAAGACCGGCTTTTTTTCCTATTAACTGGTCAAATAGACTAAACAATTTCATTTTATCGTGGGATTTGTTGCAAGTTTCAATCTAGAATCAACTTAGCCTGTGTTTGGGTTTCTTAATAAGTAAATTATAATTTTTAGTCAAATTTTAACTTTAATCACATATTCACAATTGTTATCTACATATTATCCGCACACATTTCGTGGATTGCATTACTTCCTTATACGTAGATAATGAAACCCAAACAGACACTAAGCTCGTATTTGTTTCCCATTTCCTCTCAATTTTTAGGAAAAAAAAAAATACTTCCGTTGCAAGGCCCCACTTTGTCGGAATTGTTGACTTTCATCTCACATTTTTCTTGAAGTTGGTGTTCCAAAGGTCACAAAATTCATTTTCTACAGCTAAAAAACTGGCAGCAAACAGATGCTAAATATGAGTTTCCCCAAAGAATTAACTTAATTGCAGGCATCGTTATATTGTTAAAAAAATTAACTAGTAGTGAGAGTTTCAATAAATGTTAAATATCTTGTCCAAATTAAAAACTCAAGATAAAAAAAATGAATAAATTAAATTAAATTGTTGTATACATTTTATTTTCAGAAATATAATTTCCAGATGTTGTATTGCGTTTTTCATTCCTGTACAGTTTAGTCAAGAATTGACAAAACAAATCGGCATTAATTCAGAAGAATATTGAAATATTGGAACCATACAGAGAAATTGATCATTCGATTATTTTTATAAATTAAAAGAGCCATTAATTTTAAAGGTATGTTGCCCACTCTAACCTCCAACAACAACTCTTTTATTCCGAAGAAAAATTGGACAATTACATATACACAAAAAATAGGTGATTGAAACACCACTTGTCTATTTTGGGGCCCTAACCCGTACTACTGCTCACCCTTCTATGCCCTACAGAATCATGCTATCAGGATGACGTCCTCAAAACCCTGACCTCTAGTCCTAAAGTTTAGCTCTCTTGGGCACTCATTCTTATCTCATTCTCATTTTCATTTTTTTCTCTTTTTTTCATTTCAACCACACATTCTCTCAATAAAATAATATTACACACAAATCTAAATTTTTCATAACTTTTCCACCACACATTCTCCCATCAATCACGATTCCAAAAATTTAAGTCTCCAAAAAAATGGGTATCAAACACCCTCTTACTGAGTTGGTAAAAATTCAAAATCTATTTTGTCATAAAGTAGTGACAATTGTCATTTCTCAATTATCGCACCACCTATTTGTGGATCTCTAACTTAATTTTTCGGGGCACTTAAATTGAAGAAAACTTATTTTCCAATAATGGAGAGAGAGAATTTATGGAGAGATTACATTTCATAAAAACGATTCTACTACTCGGAAGTTTTCAAATCGCATTCGTAATGTAGAAAAATAAGAGAAATTTATAAAACGTTTTATATCTACTCGCTATATTGTATTTTCAAGAAATTTCACTCTCCTGAACAATTCCTGTGACTTAATTCCTAAGTAAATTGACTTTTTAAAGTTTATCCAAACAGGAATATCAAGACTACACAAAATAGGGTGTCAAATTATCGATGCAGCAATGTCAAGGGACAGATAATATTTCATGAAACTATGGAAAAAGGAAAGGGATTCAGTTCTGTTTCATACTTTACGGATATGCAAGCACATTTTTTATGCCATATGCCCCTTGTTTTAGCCTCGTCTCAATCTAGTACTATGCATCCAACCCTCTCTAAACGTATACGGCCACTTGGGGACAAAACGTATCGAAATGGGATATGAAAAGGATAATATAGACACAATGTATGACTCATCAAGTGTCGCTGAATCAAATATTTTGTTAGGAAGTTGAAACCTGCAAGCATCAAGATTTTGTTGCTGAGTTGGGTATGACTTGGAGATCCCAAGAGAATGAGAAGAAGTGTGTATGTCCATCTAAAATGTGGACCTTTCATGACTTTATTGACCTTTCTCAACAAAATTTATCCATTCCCAGTTCCTTCTTTGCATAGAAAAAATGATTATTGAAAATTCCTAGTTAGCAACTATAACACGCAATCAAATTTTTTAAAAATAAGCAGCAAATATGAGTTAAGATTTTGCAATCTTAAAACACCATCTACCTTGAATTGTCCTTAATTGTACAAAGTCGTGAAAACTGTGTCATACAATAGCTGATACCGAAACTAAAATGTTTTAAAGCCTTCATCCGATTTATATTAGCCCTTGTTTGAAGTCCATTTAATCAAAACTCTTTTTTTCTCAAACTCATTTTCAACCACACATTCATACTATAAAATATTTTACACATAAATACCAAAAAATAAAAAATCATTTTTTAACTATATTCTTCAAATAATCACTATTCCAAAACTCATTTTCCCAAAAAAAAAAAAAAAAA